AAATCGAGTTTTTGAGAGAGCGGAGCACTTTTCCAATTTTGTGAAAACTATTGAAAAATATGAAAATGCCACCAATGCTGAGCACAGTATAAGTGAAAATGTCGCACAGAATTATTTGCAAATGCGTTTAGACTTTGACTATACGGGAGCATTTTTTCAATTTAGGCAACTATTTTTTTTTTTTTGAAATTTAATTCGAAATGAAATGACGATTGTTAATGTTCTGGAGATAAATTGATTTATGATTTACATTTTGCTCAGATATAACAAGATGGTAAAAATAATGAAAGTTACAGTATTTGTAATAATTTATTTGAAAACGTTTAAAATTTCTCGAATATTTCATTACGGTTCGGGAAGTTCCAGCAATTTACCTTAAGGCACGATGCCATACAGCACTAGTTTCTACTTCTCATCTACAAATAAGTTTTTTGCAAGAATGCATCTTAATATAGAAATCGTCCTAAAAATATATTTTTCTATCTTCCACCTGGCAACACCAACTCGTCCCTATTTGTGGCGTCAGTGTTGCCACGTGCCAACTCGGAAAATCCTTCGTTTGCAGACGATTTCCGTAAAATAAAAACGCACAACGTGCAATCGTAGCAATTTACAACTTTATTTATTTAATTGTTCGCAAAACAAGGAAGATATTAGTTTAAATAATGATAATTCCGACTCGGTTACGAATAAATATTTACGCACTGCCAAAGTCCACGAACTTTACTTTGGAGGTACTTATTAGTAGTGTGCGTAGGACATAGTCAAAGAGCGGGGAAAAATTCGAGAAATAAATATAATGAAAACGAGTTTGTATTTTATCAACATGTACAAAGATTTATAAAATCTACTTTATTATTTATTCTGTATGTGTGTTATAGTTCAACAAGTTCTAAAAATGTCGTTGTCAAATATTTTATTATTAATAAATGTACGCTTAAAAAGAAAGAGATGTGTTTAAAAAAACCGCATAAATAATTCATCTTTAATATATGACAGATGAACAAAGCATCATTGTACTGATGAAAAAAATGTAAATACTGTTTTAGAACAAAGACCTTTCACTGAAATTATTTTCGTTAGTCATAGGCGAAAATGGTCATTCACCTCGGATATATAATATATATATATATATATATATATATATATATTTGAAATGATTATTTGCAGCCAGAAGTAATAAATGGTTAACTATTTTTTATTTACGTTTCGACACTCTTTATGTTTAACCCAAAGAGATTTTACAAAGTTTTAAAAAAATTACTACCTTACTAGAATTATTACATAATTACTTTTAGAAATCTTGTTTTTTCTAACTTTGTAATTTTTTTTCAGAATTTGTTTAACGTGCCGAATGATGACACACATACAGTGTCGAAACGTAAATAATAAATAGGTTATTTGTTGTTTTTTGTTTTGATAATTTTACTACAAATAAACATTGTCTTATCTGTTACAAAGTTTTAAAAAAATTACAAGCTTAGTAAAATTATTATATAATTATTTTTAGTAATCTTGTTTTTTTAATTTTATAAAATATATTTTAGAATTTGGTAAACGTACGGAATGATGACACACATACAGGATCGAAACGTACACAATAAATAGATAAATATTTATTTCAACTATTTGGCTTAAAATAAGCATTTTATGAATATATTTGAACGTCAAACAAGAAATCTAAAGTTTAAGTATATATGCAAATATATTATTGTTTTCTGTTTCTTTACAAACAAGAAAACCCAAAAATTTATGAAAAAACGGTCAGTTTTTTAGGTAGTTAGTCTAAATTTCCAAACGTCGAGATTGAAGATCTAAAAAACTTACTGTTTTTCATCATTTTTGGGATTAATTGTTCGAAAAGAAACATAAAACAATTTTCGAATAATTCAGAATACTTATAAATATACAATATATAAACAAATATTTAAAAATTCTTCAAAGTATATGAAAAACACAATTTGACACTTGATATAATGATTTTTGCAACATTTTCATATTTATTTTATTCAAATTTTCATTATTAATTTCTAGTAAATAGAAATAATAATGTCTATTATTTTTTTATCGAATTTTCGATCGACGACATGTCTATATGAACCGCGAATTTCGAATCGTGCCAAAATTGGATTTTGCAATAGAAAGTAGTTTTGACCTATTTCCCTATTAGATCGAAGTCGACTTTTCTGCTGAACAAAGACAATTTGAATTTCAATAAAATAAATAAAGACATAAAAATTTGGCATGTTTATTTTTTCAATATATTCGCGTTTACGCAATTTAATGGCTATAGAAATTGGTGGCCCACCCACGTAATAA